CTCAGACGAAGAAGAGGCGGTTGCCCAATTTGCTGGTCCAACTGACTCCGCGCAAGAAACTCCAAAGAAGGTGGACTTTGCGACGGAAACTCTGCGTCATGCAAAGCGACCTCGCTTGGTAACTGTGATCAAGTACATTGACCTGCTGCGAATGATTCCACCTACCAGCAATAAGTGCGAACTCCTCTTCTCTCAGTGCAAGTTGGTGTTCAACCCTTTGCGTTCCAGCATGCTGCCAGCAAACTTTGAGATGTTGGTGTTTCTACGTCCCAACCGCGAGCTCTGGGACTTCACCTCTCTGGTAGGATACAATGAATCGGCCGATGACGACGAGGAGATGCAGAGTAGACATAGTTATGAACCCTCTCATTATCTATAGAATTGCTCTATATAAAAATCTATATAAAAAGTAAGAGGTTATTAAATTTTACGCGTAAAACCCATATCCGCTGGTGGACTGTCTTGCCGTCGCCGCCTCATTTTTTGTTTGTTAGATTACCCCTATGCCAGGACAAAAGTCCCGGTGACAACCACCAGCTTCTCGTACAGGTGTGGGACTCGAACCCTGTGCGGTGGATTGGTAGGGTCATTCCCAAACCACTACATCGCTCTAACCCTACTAATTGCACATTAATTGCAGTACTTATTATTGTTTTGGTTGATACGGCATTGACGGATTATTTTTTTTGCTGAAAACCAATACAATTAAATATTTTATTTTGCAACCCCTGGACGTGGAGTGTATGTCGCTTTCCATCCTCGCGTAATAGAAACATCAGCTCCTCATGCTCATATTTAAAACAGGCAAACCGGATTCTTAAGCAAGGAGAACTACGTGACGCCAGCGAATGCCTTTGTCGATACTTGAGTCCGTTCGAAACGCCAACTACATCTTCGAGCTCAAGCCTGTCGCCGTAGAGAGGATTGGCTTGTTGGAGTCGAGGCTGAGAGATCAAGAAGAGGAGATGGAACAACTGCGCGGCCAAGTTGATCTATCTGATCGCGCCTTTTTGTATGCTGAAAGCGCAGTCTGGACAGCGTCAACGCTCCAATGGAAGCCGCTAGCCTCTGATAAATTTATACTGGCTGCTGACAGTACGTCGATCACGTTTCGGATTCCAGGCCTGTACGCTATTGCGGTGCTTGTGAATCATTGGCCAATCAGAATAACACTTCAGGGACGAAATCGTTGATTAAGAATGATGTCAAAATTCAGCGATTAAGAATGATGTCAAAATTCAGCGTGCGGTAACTGGTTCTACCAACCTTTACGACAGCGGCTACGGCAATAACCTGTCTGCTGGTCACCGGACCAGTACGTCGCTTATGTGCGTGGTACAAGCCAAAGAGGACGATAGAATTGCTGTATCGTGTACGAAGACCACGTACGTTGACGACACTGCTTCGTATTTGACGGCGGTTCGCATGGGATTTTAACGAACGGACCGACAATTATCAGGAAGACAACGTGGTTGCAGTTTTGAGTAGCTGGAACTTTGATGCATGAACAGTGATATGACTCCGTAGTAAGTTTTACTGAATTATTTGCATTCTATTAATTTGGAACATACGGGTTCCATCGGCGAAGAATCGTTTACTCCGCAGCAAGAAACATGAACTACAAATACTTCCTGTGTTTTATCGTACATTTTCGACCATTGAACGTAAACGGAACACAAAGAAGTTCTGATGACGATACTGTAGTATTCTAGCATATTGACAGCTCGCGAAATGTGAAGCCATACAATTGATAAACATCTATTGCACCTGGGTCGACATCAAAGAGCTCTCAATTGCTCTGGTATTATCGTACAATATGAGCAGTATTTTTATAAGTTTCGGCTGAATGGCGTACTTGAAGGATATGTAGAAACAGCATATCCAGGTGAATGAGCACGATAGCGTTGTTGTCAGAGATCAAGCTGAAAATAATAAAACGTAACATCAACGAATAAGAAACCGCTTGCTGAAGGAGTTTCTGTAGTCAGTGTGAAAAAATCTCAGCGCAAAATCCATCGTGCTGGAAGTGAATGGTACTCAACTCCAACGTGCAGCTACAGGTTCCGTCTCCTGCTACGCTAAGGGTGCCAGATATGCTACTCAAAGCCACACCAGCACCTCGCTAATGTGTATCACTCCAGTGAAAAAGAACGCATGCTTCAGTGTGACTTGCTTGGGAACGTCTGTCGTCACGAATATGGCGTCATATATGACGTTGGCGCGCATTGGGGCTTGAGCACAGCTGTAATCTCAGCGCTTCGTGTCATCAGCTTCACAAGTTTCAAGGTTCTTCGAGCAGGGAGGCCAAGCTCGATGACATTTGAAAGATGTGCACCACACGGCTCAAGTTGTGCCCGCGTATCAAAATCAATTGAAGTCACTACTTATGATTCAAAAACCACATTGGATATTTTAGCTTTTCACGTCAGTTCTTTAACAACATTTTTACATGCTCTTCTCTTCAAGCTTGGTACACGAAAACTACACGGTCTTGTCACATCGAAAATCCAAACTACCTCGCGGGCAGTCGGCATCACTTAGGCCTTAGGCCGCAGCCGATGCCGCGACGGAACCAGCGGTACTAGTCGTAGTTGTTGCAGCAGCAAGAGCTTCACCAGACCCTTCCTTGGGCCCCTCACCCGAGCTGATGGACGGTATCCCGCCACTAAATGACCCGCCGAAGTCACCACCACCGAAGCCAGAGCCGCCGAAGCCTCCCATCGATCCAGCGAAGCCACCTCCGGTCATGGAGCCGCCGCCTCGACGACCGCCGCCAAAGTGTCCACCAAACGAGCCACTACCCATGACGGGGAAACCCTCACCAGAGCCGACGTTGTGCATGCCCCCGTGACCCGAGCCGTGGTGACCACGGCCGCCACCTCCGTGCATGGATCCCGAAGGTCGGTTGCCTCCCGTTGAGCCGCCATGGTCGAGAGCCCCGAAACTGCTCTGCGCCTCGACGTTGCCCGGTGTGAATCCCGAACCGGAGCTGAGCGTGTTGAAGTCAGTGGTGCTGACGGTGGAGTCCGTCGTGGCTGAAGCCTCGGAACGCAGAAGTCGCTGGGCGTCTACCGTCGACGACAGAGCAACAAGAGCTGCGGCGAGGATTGAAAACACTTTCATCTTGAGTTACAAACTGTGTGTGGGGTTTTAGTGGGTGGTTGTGGCTGGTGTGTGCCGACAACGAGGCTAATTCAAAAGTGAGGAACCAAATGGAGGGTCAGTGGGAAATGAATGTTGACAACGATCTGACTGCTACCTCGCGCGACTGGCACGAGTCTCGAATGCTCCGCGATCATACCGTATCGGATCCTTGTTCTCGATGACCACGTGTTGTGGCGTTTGACTCGTGGCACCGCTCGTTTTGGTGTCGATGTCATCCACAGGAGCTCAACGTGCACGCGATCGGTGAAAGTCTCAAGCAACGATGCCACTTCGTTTATAGTAAAGCTAATATGAGGATCTGTAAAAATTAGTCAAGGACGGGATATGTCAAGCACTACCAGCAGATTTACCTCACCTGTACGTTGGGTCCGAGTTGGCGTGAATCAAACTCCTGGGGTGCGGTGGGTATCATGCTGTGTGGTCTTCTAATCTGCTATGTAGGGGGCCAAATGATCGCAGCAATTACAGTTCTGTAGTTGAGTATGATCGGGGTGCATTTCTTGTTATTATTTCCGAACTTAAGTGTTCGGACTTAAAAAGTGATCAATGAAGTCATGTAATTTGCTGTAAAATGCATAATTCTCAATATTTAACTGGACTAAGTACGAAGTTTTATAATATCAAAACAGACACAATTAATTGAATGAAAAGGTTCGGCAAACAAAGCGCTAATATTTTGCTCTATACTACAACGCATTCTGCCTAACCCGATACCCACCGCACCCCAGCAGTTTGACTCACGCCAACTCGGACCCAACGTACAGGTGAGGTAAATCTGCTGGTAGTGCTTGACATATCCCGTCCTTGACTAACTTTTACAGATCCTCATATTAGCTTTACTATAAACGAAGTGGCATCGTTGCTTGAGACTTTCACCGATCGCGTGCACGTTGAGCTCCTGTGGATGACATCGACACCAAAACGAGCGGTGCCACAAGTCAAACGCCACAACACGTGGTCATCGAGAACAAGGATCCGATACGGTATGATCGCGGAGCATTCGAGACTCGTGCCAGTCGCGCGAGGTAGCAGTCAGATCGTTGTCAACATCCATTCCCCACTGACCCTCCATTTGGTTCCTCACTTTTGAATTAGCCTCGTTGTCGGCACACACCAGCCACAACCACCCACTAAAACCCCACACACAGTTTGTAACTCAAGATGAAAGTGTTTTCAATCCTCGCCGCAGCTCTTGTTGCTCTGTCGTCGACGGTAGACGCCCAGCGACTTCTGCGTTCCGAGGCTTCAGCCACGACGGACTCCACCGTCAGCACCACCGACTTCAACACGCTCAGCTCCGGTTCGGGATTCACACCGGGCAACGTCGAGGCGCAGAGCAGCTTCGGGGCTCTCGACCATGGCGGCTCAACGGGAGGCAACCGACCTTCGGGATCCATGCACGGAGGTGGCGGCCGTGGTCACCACGGCTCGGGTCACGGGGGCATGCACAACGTCGGCTCTGGTGAGGGTTTCCCCGTCATGGGTAGTGGCTCGTTCGGTGGACACTTTGGCGGCGGTCGTCGAGGCGGCGGCTCCATGACCGGAGGTGGCTTCGCTGGATCGATGGGAGGCTTCGGCGGCTCTGGCTTCGGTGGTGGTGACTTCGGCGGGTCATTTAGTGGCGGGATACCGTCCATCAGCTCGGGTGAGGGGCCCAAGGAAGGGTCTGGTGAAGCTCTTGCTGCTGCAACAACTACGACTAGTACCGCTGGTTCCGTCGCGGCATCGGCTGCGGCCTAAGGCCTAAGTGATGCCGACTGCCCGCGAGGTAGTTTGGATTTTCGATGTGACAAGACCGTGTAGTTTTCGTGTACCAAGCTTGAAGAGAAGAGCATGTAAAAATGTTGTTAAAGAACTGACGTGAAAAGCTAAAATATCCAATGTGGTTTTTGAATCATAAGTAGTGACTTCAATTGATTTTGATACGCGGGCACAACTTGAGCCGTGTGGTGCACATCTTTCAAATGTCATCGAGCTTGGCCTCCCTGCTCGAAGAACCTTGAAACTTGTGAAGCTGATGACACGAAGCGCTGAGATTACAGCTGTGCTCAAGCCCCAATGCGCGCCAACGTCATATATGACGCCATATTCGTGACGACAGACGTTCCCAAGCAAGTCACACTGAAGCATGCGTTCTTTTTCACTGGAGTGATACACATTAGCAAGGTGCTGGTGTGGCTTTGAGTAGCATATCTGGCACCCTTAGCGTAGCAGGAGACGGAACCTGTAGCTGCACGTTGGAGTTGAGTACCATTCACTTCCAGCACGATGGATTTTGCGCTGAGATTTTTTCACACTGACTACAGAAACTCCTTCAGCAAGCGGTTTCTTATTCGTTGATGTTACGTTTTATTATTTTCAGCTTGATCTCTGACAACAACGCTATCGTGCTCATTCACCTGGATATGCTGTTTCTACATATCCTTCAAGTACGCCATTCAGCCGAAACTTATAAAAATACTGCTCATATTGTACGATAATACCAAAGCAATTGAGAGCTCTTTGATGTCGACCCAGGTGCAATAGATGTTTATCAATTGTATGGCTTCACATTTCGCGAGCTGTCAATATGCTAGAATACTACAGTATCGTCATCAGAACTTCTTTGTGTTCCGTTTACGTTCAATGGTCGAAAATGTACGATAAAACACAGGAAGTATTTGTAGTTCATGTTTCTTGCTGCGGAGTAAACGATTCTTCGCCGATAGATCCGGTATGTTCCAAATTAATAAATGCAAATAATTCAGTAAAACTTACTATGGAGTCATATCACTGTTCATGCATCAAAGTTCCAGCTACTCAAAACTGCAACCACGTTGTCTTCCTGATAATTGTCGGTCCGTTCGTTAAAATCCCATGCGAACCGCCGTCAAATACGAAGCAGTGTCGTCAACGTACGTGGTCTTCGTACACGATACAGCAATTCTATCGTCCTCTTTGGCTTGTACCACACACATAAGCGACGTACTGGTCCGGTGACCAGCAGACAGGTTTTTGCCGTAGCCGCTGTCGTAAAGGTTGGTAGAACCAGTTACCGCACGCTGAATTTTGACTTCATTCTTAATCAACGATATCGTCCCTGAAGTGTTATTCTGATTTGGCCAATGATTCACAAGCACCGCAATAGCGTACAGGCCTGGAATTCGAAACGTGATCGACGTACTGTCAGCAGCCAGTATAAATTTATCAGAGGCTAGCGGCTTCCATTGGAGCTTTGACGCTGTCCAGACTGCGCTTTCAGCATACAAAAAGGCGCGATCAGATATATCAACTTGGCCGCGCAGTTGTTCCATCTCCTCTTCTTGATCTCTCAGCCTCGACTCCAACAAGTCAATCCTCTCTACGGCGACAGGCTTGAGCTCGAAGACGTAGTTGGCGTTTCGAACGGACTCAAGTAGGCGAAGATTGAAACTCAACTCAAGCCGAAGCCCGCTATTTACCCTTGATTCCAGTTTACGGTGTGATTCTTGACTTCTGTCTGACAGGCAGTCTAAACACTGTCGGAAGTACTGGTCATTAAAAAACGTACAGTAAGCTATCCTGTCGTGTGACTCTCATCAGCTACCTTACCGAAGCGTAGTCCATGGTTGACGCATCCACGAATGTATTTGCAGCACTTACAAATTCTCCTTTGCTTAAATACCCAGATTGCCTGACCGATTCGGTAGTATAATGTTGTTTGGTTAGGACCCGTAGTAGTCAACTACTACAGATAATAATCCAACTTACCATTGCTGTTTACTAGATCGAGACTCCAACCAGATATTCAGCTTTTCGCCTTGTACTGAAATTGCATAGCGAAACTTCTCGCCAGCAGGCCAAGGAAACGTCGTGACGCCTTCCGCTTTGGAGCCAATACCAGTAGCCATGACCTTGACCAAGAAAATTATCGAATGAGATCAATATTCTCGCTCTATTTAGTTCCAGTTCCATCAATCGCAGCACCCAGACATCCATTTTTTTCTCTGCAATTCTTTTCAAACATAATCATATTCTCCATCATTCAATCTATTTTCATCGACGTGAATTGATCAACGAGATCGATAGAAACTCCACTCAGGATTTCTCGGTAATTATCCCTCAAATACCTGGAAAATGTTTCACAATCTCATTTTCCCCGGCATTCCTCAAACGAATTTCCAGGATGACAGCCAATATCAACTCTGAAGTCGAAGGAGTGACGGCCTTCGCTCTGTGTTGTGACGCTTATTTTCGCTATCGGATCTCTCTCAAAAACGAAAAGGTGAATCTCTGGCTAGAGGACCGATCTAGCAAAAAGCAATGGTAAGCCTAATGATGCCGGCCTGCATATAATCAGTTTAATTATAACCTAGCTTGCTTATTTCACTACCCGCCAGGCAATCTGGGTTTCTGAGCATAGAGGACTACGTGACCGCTGCAAACGTATTCGCGGATGCGTCAGCAGCTGACTACGTATCGGTACGATTGTTTTTTTTTTATGATCAAGGAGCTACGAATGGCTTACTGTATCTTCGTTTAAATTACAGTACTTTCAACAGTGCTTGGAATGCTCATCGGACAGCTCTAGCGAGTCACAGCGTAAGCTGATTTCGCTCAAGGACGATCACCTACAGGTTGAGATGTGCATCAAGATTCGCCTGCTTCTGTCCGTCCACGAAATCAAGTACGTTTTTAAGCTACAACCAGTTACTGTTGACAGGGTCGACATTTTGGAGGCAAAATTGAAAGACCAACAGGAAGAGTTGGAAAAACTACGTGGCCAAGGTGGCCAACGTGAGCGAGCCTTTGTACACGCCGAAAGTGTGACTTGGGGGAATGCGTTGAAGCTTCAGTGGGAGAGCATTAATTCCGAGAACTTTTCGCTGGCTCTGATGTAATTTCGATCATATTTCGTACACCAGGCTTATACACAATTAGCGTACTCGTGAATCACCGGCCACTTGAGAATACCGCTGTGGTGTCGATTTCGTTGGAGAAGAGCGGTGTAATTACTCGGCCTATTTATATGACGATGATCTCCACGTGAGTCATCAGACCAGTACATCACTAGTGTGTATAGTTCAGATCAAGAAGAACGAGTTGATCGCTGTTGCTTGCACGGGGTCCTTCTCGATTCGGGGCCACCCCTCGTATTTGACAGCCGTGCGTATGGGTGACTAATACAGACTCTTGTGGTATTCGGTGTCGACTTAGTTTGGGCTAAAACCGGTTACAACGATATCCTTCTCGTCTTTTCTGAAATAAAACTCCATCTGTTAATTCCACCCGATAAGGCAGTGCATAATCGAATTTCGTTGCTGTTGTTAATGTAGTGTTCTTATTTGACAAAATCACACTATGTTGAATGTGGTGGTGATTCAAGAAATCGTCACAAAGAGTATATGTACTTCAGACTTCAACTGACAATTCGTCGGCTCAATCCCCTGACTAAAAAACGTTTTTTTCACGTTAGTTTTTTATACTCCTCGAAACGTACCAATCTATAGTTGCTGGTGTTGTATTACGTGTTCGCTTAATCGGAGCAGTGTGTCGATTTTTTAGCGAGTCTTCCAGTGGCTCGACTTTTGAGCAAACACGGATGAATTTCACGTACTGATTGGGATAATGAAACTTCAACTTGATCCGATTAGCCAACAATCTCGTCTGGCATTCCAAATTCAGCTGAAATTTGCGTTACATGAATTGAGATTATTGACAGCGCAGAACAGAAAAGTTGCCCTTTTACTTTTTGTCAGTATTTTTTTCCTCCATGCAACTCAAATTCTTGGACTGTTGCTTCCTGTATTGAAATATGGCTATTCCAAACTGGCACGATGAGGCGATTCCCGATTCGAGAATCCCGAAGTTGCCGTTACTTGGTTAAGATCCGATGCGAATGACCGTCAAATACGAAGCAGTATCGGCGATATAGGAGGTCCCCGAGCATAGGACTTCAATGCTTTCGTCTGCTTTGACCTGAACCATACTCATGAGCGACGTACTGGTTCGATGACTAGCATATTGCTGGGAATTGTTGTACATACAATAATGCACGACAGATCCAGCTGCCGCACGCTGAATTACGATTCCATTCTTCTGCAGCGATATCGCTCCGGCAGTACTGTTTTCGACTGGAACATGGCTCACAAGTACACTGATCGCGTACAGGCCAGGAATCACGATGATAATCGACGTACTGTCAGCACTTAGCACAAAATTCCCCGAGTTCAAGGGCTCCCATCGAAGCATCGCGTCCGTCCAGGTCGTGCTTTCGGCGTACAAAACGACTCGTTCAGTTTCGTCAACTCTGCTACGCAGCTTCTCCAACTCCTCTTGCTGATCCTTCAGCTTCGAAGCCAAAATGTCAATAAGCTCCACTGCCACTGGTTCTAGCTTGAACACGTAGCTAACATTCCGAAAGGACCGAAGCAGTCGAATCTTGATGTTCATTTCAAGCTGAAATGTGTCTCCTTTCAGTGAAACCAGCTTGCGCTGCGATTCTTGAGTTTCGTCCACCGAGCAGTCTAAACACTGCTTAAAGCACTGACAATTAAAGCAATTGAAACAGTTAGCTCTACACCTTCAGATGACTTGTCAAAATACTACCGTACGGAAATGTAGTCCGCCGCTGATGCATCCACAAATGCGTTTGCAGTGGTCACGTATTCTTCTTTGCTAAGGAATCCAGATTGCCTGCTCGATATATGAGTTTTGCCTGGCAGTTAGTACGGACGCTCATCAAACTTAATTATAAACTTACCACTGTTTTTTGCTCGTGCGGTTCTCTAACCAGAGGTTAATCTTTTCGCTCTTTAGAGAGAGCAAGTAGCGGAAGCTCTCGTCAGGAAGCGAACCAAACGTCGTGGTCCCTTCAACCTCGAAATCGATCCCAGTCGCCATGGCAGGAGAAGTGGTAAAAGCACAACGCGGAAAAATCGTTTGTGCCAAGTCTGAAGACAAATGCTCTCCTATCGAGTATTTCCGAGAAAACCACTGTCTCTGGCTAAACTTGTGAATTCTCTTGGAAATGATCACTGGAAGAGTCTTTACCATTTCTCTGAAATACCCAACGGGATGTAATACCTGTTTCTATGTGCAAATGCGTCTACGGGACGAGGCGCAAGGAACTTGAAACTTCCGCGCTGATGGCCTGAGCAAAGCGAACACACATTGGCTGAAATGTCATGAGGCAGGAGTTGGGTACGCGTATCAACCTCACTCGAGTTCTACTCAATGGACAAATCATTTCAATACGTCATACTAGGTGATACTAAGCATCCTCGCTGAGCCAGGCACCGAGTAGAAACGCTGCGCCTGAGCCGGTCGACCATTTCTGAAGTTGAAGTTGTATGATGCGTGGTTGCAGGGCTGGCACTGTAAAAGATAGAGACTATCGTTCATAATCGCCTGGCAACGATTAATGCAACCCATAAGCACTGGAATGAAGGGATCCGTTCGGTGGGATTTGAGATGTCATCGTCTTTGCCGAGTGCTTCGGCGTGCATGCATTTCCACTCACGATTCTTTCCCGATGGTACAGAATGCAAGTCCACAAGTACCAGCTCACAGCGCTGCGAGACGGTCACTTTCGAATTTGCCCGAGACTTCAGAAGCCTCCAACTTGAGCTCGTTATGGCGCCACACGAATCCCCACGCAACGGATACGCCGTCGTGCAGACGCCACCTGCCTACGCCCACGATGAGCCCATGCTCAACATCGAGGATCGCTCGCTGAAGCCAACGTGGATCGTGTATTCCTCTGTCGGTATTGCCATGCTGGAGGCCTTCCACTACGGATGGTCCAACTCTCAAGTCAACCTCAGCACCTTCAGCAACACGGACGAATGCAACGCTCGACCAGTGGAGGAAGGCACTTGCCTCATGTTCCCTGGCCACACTCACACGACGTGGACTCTGCTAGTGAACGCGTGGATTGTGGGCGGAATGTTTGGCAGTCTACTGTCAGGATTCCCGTCGAACAAGTGGGGTCGTCGTACTACATTACGCTTCAACGCGATCATTATGGTACTGGGGTCAGTGATCCAAGTGGTAGCAAACAACCCGACGTGGTTCTCTGCGGGTCGCTTCGTGACGGGTGTGGCTAACGGTGTAGCTATGGCTGTAGTCAACACGTTCCTGAACGAGATCTCTACGCCTCACAACCGTCACGCTCTTGGAACGAACACGCACTTAGCTGCAACGCTAGGTATCTTCGGTGTAGCCACCACGTTCTGGTACTGGAACACTACCTCTGGTTTCCGATGGATCGCTGGAATGCCAATAGTCTTCGCTGCTGGATTCGTAGTTATGTCGTTCTTCTTCATGGTCGAGAGTCCCGTGTGGCTCGTTGCGAACGGTAAAGACGAAGAAGCCGAGAAAGAACTGGCGCGTCTGTACGGAAAACAGAACGTCAACGTCATGATGGGTTGGATCCAAGCGAATGATCGTCGATCCAAGCTGCCTTCGATGCTGAGTGGCGTATCGGATAAGGTCCACACTGAGACGAACTGGACTATTCTGACCAACAAGAAGTTCCGTAAACCGCTGGTCATTGCACTGGGACTGACGTGCATTAACCAGTTAGTGGGGATCAACGCTGTCTTCTTCTACTCGTCGTCTATTCTCAAAGACGCTGGTATTTCGGACTCCCGTGTCGGACTTATGATCATCGATATCTTGAACGTTGTACCCGTGCCGATCGCTGCTGCCTTGACGAAGGTCATGCGTAAACGTACGATGTTGATGTCGGGTATCTTCGTGATGGTCTTGTGCTGTATCGGCATGACGTTCTCGCTGGTTTACAGCGTGGGCTGGCTCTCCATTGTCTTCCTCGGAGTGTTCGTGGTGGGCTACGACTTGAGTATCGGTCCGCTGCTTTGGCCGATTGTTGCGGAGCTCTTCGCAGACTCAGCTCGTGGCGCTGCTGTTGGTATCTGTATCACCATGAAGTGGATCTGCTCACTTATTGTGGGTATCGGCTTCCCGTACGTTGAGGAAGCGATTACGAACTACAGCTTCACGCCGTTCCTGGGCACGACTATTCTCTCTATTATCTTCATCTACTTTATGGTGCCGGAGACGTCGGACAAGACTATTGCGGAGATCCAAGACGGATTCCGTAGCGACCACAGCGTGCAGTCGTCGAGCAAGAGTCAGATCTAAGGAAGTAATGAATGTATCATGTTGTTGATCTATCTAACGTTTTCTAATGTCGACTCGAGATCGTTTACTTATCCACACACTCTGTTCCAGTCTAGACTCAAATTAATTGCCGCTGAACTCGAACCAGTGCATGTACGATACCAGTATTGCATAAACGAAACAAATATTATTCATGCACCGGGTTACATGCTAGCCTAAGAGACAAAGAGCAGCACAGCTCACAACTTCCTGTTTATAAGCATGTTCTACTCACAATAGTGTCATGACAACATTTAGGCACCACCAGCAAATCTCGTGGTCTCGGCTCACGAGTCATACGCAAAAAAAGACGCCCAGACTAAAAAAAGGGAGAAAATTACATCTTCAAGAATTTCTTGTTTTCAATGACAATAGGCAAACCAAATGCAAAGCACTTCTACCAGCTACACACTACGCCGGCTCGACATTTCTCACTTCCTACTGCTGACTCTTGACCGAGTGCAGGTTCTCGTCACCACGGAAGCCGTTCTGGATCTCAGCGATCGTCAAGTCCGAAGTCTCCGGCACCATGAAGTAGATAAAGATGATCGACAGAATAGTAGTGCCCAGGAACGGCGTGAAGCTGTAGTCTGTGATAGCGTCCTGGACGTACGGGAACGCGATACCGATAATGAGCGCACACGTCCATTTCAAGAAGACGCAGATGCCGACAGCGCCACCACGCGCGGAGTCCGGGAAGAATTCAGCGATCATAGGCCAGAGCAGTGGACCGATACTGACGTCGTAGCCAACCACGTAGATACCAAGCATAGTGACGGAGAGCCAACCGACACCGTAGACCATAGAGAACGTCATTCCAATGCAGCACACAGCCATGATAGCAATGCCCCAAAGAAGCATCGGGCGCTTGGGTAGGAACTGAGTAGCATAAGCAGCGATCGGTACCGGTACAACGTTCAGAATGTCGATGATAACCACACCAAGTCGCGCATCCGCGATGCCCGCTCCAGTCAGAATAGATGACGAGTACCAGAAAACGGCATTGATGCCAACCAACTGGTTGATACACGTGAGTCCCAAGGCCACCACGAGTTGCTTACGGAACTTTGGGTTGGCCAGGATCGTCCACGGACTCTCGGCTTCCATCTGTACCGATTCACCACTTACAGTCGACGGTAATTTGGTTCGCTGTTCGCGGGCCTGGATCCAGCTCATCATGGCTTCGACGTTTTCTTTGCCGTACAGACGAGCGATCTCCCGTTCGGCTTCTTGCTCACGGCCCTTCGCTACAAGCCACACGGGACTTTCGACCATGACGAAGTAGGAGCAGAGCAGGTAACCGGCAGCGAGAACGATAGGGATTGCAGCGATCCAGCGGAATCCGGATGTGGTGTTCCAGTACCAGAACGTCGTGGCTACACCTAAGATACCGAGCGTAGCAGCCAAGTGCGTGTTGGTACCGAGAGCGTGGCGGTTGTGAGGGGTAGAGATCTCACTTAGGAACGTGTTGACGACGGCCATAGCGATACCGTTGGCGATTCCAGCAACGAATCGGCCGAAGCCGAACCAAAAGGGATTGGGGGCAACGACTTGGATAACAGAGGCCAGTACCATGATGACAGTATTGAAGCGTAGAGTCATTCGACGCCCGTACTTGTTGGACGGAATACCAGACAGGAAACTGCCTACCATGCCGCCGACAATCCATGCGTTGGAGAGCAACGTCCAAGTGGTCTTGGTGTGTCCAGGGAACATGATACAGGTCCCCTCGACGACCGGACGGGCGTTGCAGTCTTCGGTGTTGTTGAATTTGTGGAGATTGATCTGGTGACTCGACCAACCATAGTGGAAAGCTTCCAGCATGGCGACGGCAGCAGACGTGTACACGATCCATCGCGCTTGAATGGCTCGTCCTTCGATAGTGGGCTCGTTGACGGTGCCAGGAACCGGGGACATGGCGATCGCGTAGTCCGTGGCTTGGTTTGGATTCGGGGAGGGAGGCATCTTGATCGCTGGTTTGAAGCTTGGACTGGAAGGCCCTGTTGGTGCCAGAAGGCGAATTCAAAAGTGAGGACTCGAATTGAGAGCGTAGAGCTGTCGATCGGGCTTGTGAGGCCTAGGAGGGATTAAATCCTCGAGCTTAGCTCATCTGCTAGCACCCTTCAACCAAGTAAGGTCAGGACAAGGGAGTCTGTTTTGGTTGCATGCCACGCTACAACGATCACAGCGGCTGGACTATCCTTGCAACGAAAAAAAAAATCTTTACTAAAACGAAGACTAACATTAATACTTTCAGCAATTAAAATAGCTGGCTGGATTAATTTGCTTAAATAAAAGGCGGTAAGTCACCGTCGAGAAGATGTGCCACCACAAGGCTGAGGAAGGGGAGATGGGGTGGATGCCTTTACACATCACCGCTGTGCACCAAGTCGCCTATCTGAGCTAGTATTTGCTTGCGATAAGTTTCGAAAGCGTACGTTTGATCAGGCGAGGCCTGTTTCAAAAGCTCTGGTCAAGCTACATGTAGATAATTACATTTACGTTTGGTTTAATGTGGAACAAGAATTGCATGCCGACGTTTGATATATGCATGGGAGTTTAGATTTGAGCACAGCCACACAGCCACATCCCCTGGTGAGCCAGGGCCGATCGGTAATTAAGTCGGCTACAGTATTGTTAGCTTTCGTCGCGCGATTTGATGGAGCACGTTGTGCTGTGTGGTACACAGTGTACCGCACGGCATGGTCTGTAGGGCATCACGAAGCAGATGCTTCGATGCCACGGCCATCCTCAGACAATTATTCCTCTTCTTTAGGTCAAACACAAACTCAGTTTATCTTCAACAACTCATCAGAGCCTCCTAGACTTCGTGCAGCACAAATGGATGTTGGAGCTATCCAAACCAGATGTACCAAGTCACATACACTTGAAGATGTCGGCTAAAACAACCAGCCCTGAGTCCACTCATCAAACGTTTGTTTGACTGTGAGCCAGGCCTGTGGTGAGCCAGGGACGACCTGTACAATGATAGTTCCAGGGAATGAAGTTCAAGTTCGAGACCGCCAGAACCACCTTGAAGTTAAACAGCCCCTCCTGGAAGGATTCGCCCAACGATGACTGACTCGATCAAGTTCAATCAGCAGGATTCCAGTCTCTTCTTGAAGTATGGCTCTAGGAAAATCTAGAGCTGCGTCATACTAGAATATAGGAGAAGTTTTTTTTTTTGCAATGTTGTCTACTGATATGGCAACCGATAGACCATTCACCTAAACGGTATATCTTAAGAAATATTTGATACGATCCGGAGATCGCGCCACCTAGCTCGCTGTCTTGTGCTACTTTGTTGCGCTGAAAAGCCTGAGTGGACTGTACGGGTTTCAAAAAAAAAAAAATGCTGTGACGACCAAACGCTATTTTGTATATGTTAATTTGCTGTCGCCTAGAGTTTTCAAGCAAACAAAGTCGTCTAATGCAAGACTTGTATTTCGTCAAAAGAAGGTGATAAACCGGGTAACCTCGAAGTTACATTTACGCCAAAATAAAAAGCGGACTCCCCTTAGACAAGAATATAATTACCAAGGGTGAGATTTGTAGCTGGAATAGTAGTATGAACTGTGAGTAGTAGTATGAACTGTGATGTTACTTGAAGGTTGCATGAGGTTCTCAACATTAAAAAAGAAATATGTCCGACACAACGGAGTCTGGGCTGACGGCGTTTGCTCTGCCGCCTGCGCCGACGTATCGCTTCGTCATCACTAGCAGAGCCGAGAAGGTGAAGATCACACTAGAAGATCTAAAGAGCAAGAAGCAGTGGTATTAAATTGAGCTGGGCATCACTTAAAGCCTCGACATTCAATCTCTAACGCAGTATGTAAATATCTAAATATCGCAGGAGCTCGGGTTTTCTAGATGACAAAGAATACGTTACGAGCACGAACAGAATCCCCAACGCGAGTCTCGTGGATTACGTTAAGGTTGTTTAACACTACAAATATTTACGCGAAAGCACTTGCTTACACTAATTGTCTGTATTATTGCCAGGTCTTCAAAGATACTCTAGAATTTCTGATGGAGAGTATCGAAGCTGAGGAAGAAGACACGGAAACAGACATCACTGTCGAGGACGGTGATCTCAAGGGGCGAGACAACCCCCTGGACCCCGCAAAGATCCGTCGCAAACTGACCCCTCTCAAAGACTATAAATTCCAGCTAGAATTGGCAGTAAAAATCCGGATTTTCCAGTCGGCATGGACTGCGAAATATCTGTTCCAGTTGGAGCCCGTTACACTCGACCGAATCGATATTTTAGAGGCCAAACTCCGAGATATAGAGTACGAACTGGAAAAGACGAAAAACAATTTGGACGATGAGAAACGGGGGCGTGAGATTGTGGAGGAGGAATTAAACGAAATGAAGGACAAACTCGCAGATTTGGAGAAGGCGATTGTGAAGACAAACAATCCAAAGGCGCATGAACGGTTGAAAGCAGCCTCGAGAAATGTGGCGGAGTTGAACGACAAGGGCCAACTGCAGTGGAATTCAGTGAAAGGACTCGGCTTTGAGCCGTCGAGTGGCGGATACGGTGTGCGTGTCCTTGTGGCTGGGTGGTATATGGTCAACGCGACGGTGTACTTGGCGCCTCAAACAGTTGGAACGAGCGTTAAACTCCAGCTGAACGGGAACTACTTGCGATCTCAGCCTGCTCCGATTAATGGTAAGCAGAATACCAGCGTTACGTTCGCCTTCGTAACAAACTTGAAGAAAAACGACGAGCTCACGATTATCGCCACGGACTCTCAAGTTGGAGCTGATCTCGACGCATTCAGAGTTGGCAAGTAAACGGGATCGACGTTGAAGACAGCTACGCAGTCGAAGTCTTACAGCATGTAATCTCGCTTTCGCCCTTGACTGAATATGTTTTATAAGCGATAATTTAGGTAGCAAATAAGTTGAACAAGCCAGTGACGTTGGAATGGACGTTGTTCCTAGTACTAAGTTTTTATTTAATGAAGACAGAATCCACCGGTAGTACCGAACAGGTAACACAGAGTCCTGCTCCCAGTTACATACCCTGTCAAACCGATCAAGATATGACAGCATCCTACAAAACCTGACGACAGCGCGGGTTCGGACAATTTCCTGAGAAATGCACTCTCTCTTAACGGGTATGTCCAGTTTGGTCATGGCCTGTCCCAGCTTTCTACCTGGCGGTGATTGTGAGTTTCACAACGCAACTCGCCTCCGGCCAACCAAGACGAGCAGCAAGCAATTGCCAGAATAGCGACGAGAATCAGTTGTTTCCGTCCAGTCGTGTTGACGGGTGGGAGACTGAGTACTATGTGAGCAGTTTGCGTTGCAACAAACAAGGAGTCGTAGGAGAAGTTGCATTTTACATGTCAGTTAAATCGTGCTTGTAGCCACTACTGAGCTGGAACGGTGTTTTACGGAGTAGTGAATGCAAATCGATTAATGTGCTTGCTTGAAATACAAGTCGTTTTTTTTTATTTCGCTGTGAAGATCATGGTCCACCGGTTATACTATTATACTAGTAATGTATCTCAAACTGCATCAGCTGAAGAAATATCGTTGGAAACGTTCGAGCCCAGGCAAATGGGTTAATACATGGATGCCTTGATATATGGTATTCTGCGAAATCTCGGTTTATCTTCTCCAACCGACTCATCAATTCTAGTCGTCATGAATACATGCGTAGGTGCTCCGACGTAGCACAGCACGACGGCCAAGAAAATGGCAATTGAAAAAGGCAAACGGAGTCACTGCTTTTGGACCACCACCTGCGCCGATTTATCGGTGTGCTGTTTCTGCTCAGGGTGAGAATATGATTATTTGGTTGGAAGACCTCAAGATGAAGAAGCATTGGTACGGAAACAGATCACAGAGCTGCGAGAAAAACATTGTGTCGGGGTGGAGTACCCCGTTTAACGTGAACGACGGGCTGTCTGTCATGGCTACGAATACCCCATACAACGTAAAGGCAGACTTAGAGTTGACGAGACTGCGAGAGTAGTACGAGCTGTCGTTGAAACAACAAAGGTGGATACGAAGTTGCCGGCAGTCATTTTGATAAACCTCACATTTGTCTGCACTATTATTGAGTAAGGGGAAATGCCAATTCGGGTCAAATCTAAACTGCTTTTCTAGTTTTTCTTGTGTCTTTTGTTCTAGGACAAACAAAACGACACCAAGGGTACAAACCAAAAGCTGTGGATTTTGTAGATTTTTCTGGCTATTTCTGAAACATCTATCTAACTATTACATAAACACAATCGGTACGATTAAAAAAAGAACACCAAGAATGATGGTCCTGCCTATTAGGGGCCGCTTGAAATGATTTGAGTTGACTATGTGATTCGGCCTGTCTTTTATATGGTACCTAATAACTGACCAATCACAACTATTAAGTGCAAAATTAGAGTCTTTCATTGACCAAATGTACAGTTCTCTAATTGACAAACCGGCCACGAATTAGCATTTTACCTTACCCTTCGTTGGTGATAAAGGCACTCTACACTGCGCAGCAATGTGAAGGTGCCGTATGAAACAGATATGTTGAATGTATTCTTTATCGAGCTATGACAATTTGGCTGAGTTAAGATGATAACTATTATCAGTACTTATTGATATTGTTGTCCTTTCATATGGTATAAACCCGAGAACACTGGGGGATCGAGATGCCAAGAAGATGCGGTACGTGTACAAGTTATATACTCTGAAAGCGACAGCACTAGCCCAACAATTTTCGTGTACAGTCCAAGAATAATCTCGGCCAGTATTACGCGCATGATCATAAAAAGTAATCAGGTGACGTTGACGCACAAAACGCTGAACGCAATCAATAGTTGAATAAATCCTTTTTTTTACCAGTATTAATCTAAAGGCGAAAACCAAATTTTGATTATCCAGTACTGCATGTGCTAGCTTGGCCATTGATTATTTCACCAAGAAATTAATAGTGCGACACTTTTAATCAACTCGAAGCAAGCTCTCGTCTGCTCACTACTCAACTTTCTCCGTTTATCGAAAACCTCTCCACCACTGATGACTCTATCCCAGCCACATGTTGCGAACTGCGTTCCAACCTTAAGCCTTCCAGAGAGCCATGAGGGTGATACCGGCACCCCGTCGGATCCCTACGTGAGTGCAGTTTCGCCAAGGCAGCACATTGAACCGGAGAAGATGAATTGGGCGAGGAAATGTGCGCGATATTGGACGGTGGCGCGTTGGCGTCTGTCACGTACTATTTTCTCGGTTCCCATTCCGATGCTCACGCCACGCTTCGACATCAAGCTTGGTGACCTGATCGTCACATTCCCGCTGCTTATGTTTCTCCTGGGCATGGCGGTATTCTTTACAGTCGAGCACGAAGTTAAAACGTCTGGTGCACCAGCGACATTCACGATGTTGTTTGTGTTCGTTTTGGTAGTGCGAAACAATTCGCTCTTACTCGCACTCACGGGTATCCCCTTCGAACGTGCGTTGTTCTACCACAAACTGTTGTCTTATGCGACGATCGTGTTGACGGTGGTGCATGCCTACGCGTATTATGCGGCGCCTGACGAACATGTACAAACAGCGGATGAAGATATGGACTTCAAACTCTTGACTGGATATGTCGCGTTCGTGGCCATGGTCGTCTTGTGTTTATTGTCTGTAAACAAAATTCGCCGTCGCTTCTTCGAGTTTTTCTTACGCACTCATTGGATCCTCTTCATCGTCGCTGTGGTGTTTGCGTCGCTGCATGGTGCTCCCTATATTCTGGTAGGAGTCATTCCTTGGTTCGTGGACATGCTTTATCGCCTAGCCATCCGAACTCGCAAGTACTCTAAAGGTTCCTTGAAGCCCACCGAGGTTTCAACTGGAATAGTTGCTCGGGATCAGGTGTCGGTCCATACGTTGCCCGGAGACATTACGCTTATTCAGTTCCCACGCGTTCGCAAAGATACCGGTGACGCATTCGAGTACGAAGCTGGTCAGTACGCGTTCATTTGCATTCCGACAATTTCCTATCTCGAGTGGCATCCGTTCACGATCTCATCTTCTCCCAACGAAGCCATGGTGACGTTTCACACTAAAAAACTGGGTGATTGGACGAAGAAGGTGAGAACTGCTGCTATTGACACTAACAATGACTCCCCATTTGACATTCTCCTGGATGGACCTTATGGCAACGTTTCCGTCGATATCGCCACTCCGGGAGTGTACTCACATTACGTTCTGTTCTCTGGCGGCATTGGTGTGACTCCGATGCGGTCAATTGTCAACTGGTTGTACACTGAACACCGCGAAGGCTATCGTCCTGATATCAAGAATGTTCACTTCGTATGGTCTGTACGCGACCGTGACCTTATTCAAGCGCTCGTCGATGGTACGGAGCTGCATCATGAGACTAACAACTGCGAATCCTATTTCCCACCGCGAATCCAAGACGTGAACGAAGCAGGAAGCACGTTCTTTAGTGAGTTTTACCTCACGCGAGGTGAGAAGGACGTTGAAGCTCAACTCGACCACCAGCTCCGCAACTGTCTTAGATATGGTTCTCGCCCTGACGTGACAAAAATTCTACGATCCATGGGTGAAAAGGCAAAGCAAGATGACAGCACTCGAGTAGCTGTGCTGGTCTGTGGACCAAAGCCATTGGTGAATGGCGTCGTGGCCACTGGCATGACCCTCTCCAAGGAGATGAAGATCCAGTTCGACGTTCACACCGAGTTGTTCGACTTTTAGGCAATCTCTGGACCTGGCAGACTTGTTAAGAGGATAATAGGCTGGACTGTTGCTCAAGTTAGCAATCGCTATGCAGTTGGATGATGAGAAGATGAATTTGACTTTCTGAAAACGATTTTCAAAATCCTGGTTGCTGGTCGACGCAAGGCTTCGAGTAGACTGTCTTTTGTTTAGACTACACGGACGCGGTATATCTTGTAGTTTGACGCAGCGGAAACAAGGTATCATTAACGCTTGCTCAGAGTTTTTGACAAGCGTTATATGTACTGTACTCGAGTGACGGAGCCCGAAAAAAAAATACAGTACTCACCCCACCCTTTCTTCTTACCCCCTTCAAGAGTTTATATCCTGGAGGTAGCAGTATCATATTATGAAGGTACCGGGTATCACTGACTTCGCGACATGGTGACGCCAGCGCACACGGCGATAAGCATATCTTCGCCATCGTCGTGGGCTACGTACATGTATCCCTCACGAAAATATTCTCGTGGCGTAGCTTGCTGCTTCTAATAGTTAGCTTCCTGGCGACGCGGAAGCTGTCTGAGGTAGCATGTTCAGCCAACGATATCTCAGTTTTCTCTGTCTTGAAACATAATTACAGTACTAGTGGCATTTTCAAAGTAATGTAAGGGTCCATTTGTGCCACAATGTGAAGATGAAAAGAAAAAAAAAGAACATCACCTTCACTCAAATTGAGAAGTGCATACCTGTATAACTAGCAATCATGACCTGATCTCTTTACATTTAGTTATGAGCCCACCTTGGGCGAGTAAGGCGTGATAATGACTAATCTTCAAACGACTGTGCTTGATCTTTGGAGGAGGGGGTCCTAGCTTAAATTGAGGGTATTTTCTTTTTTTAAGAAAAGAATTGAATTCGACATTAGGATCTATCGGCTCAATTGCTTTCTTGGTCACGATGTAAAACAAAAGCGAACTTATAGTCTAAATCGAGCTCCAAGTGGAGGTCGTGTGCAACCACCTAAAAATCAAACAACTCGGTGTGAACGTCGAACTGGATCTTCATCTCCTTGGAGAGGGTCATGCCAGTGGCCACGACGCCATTCACCAATGGCTTTGGTCCACAGACCAGCACAGCTACTCGAGTGCTGTCATCTTGCTTTGCCTTTTCACCCATGGATCGTAGAATTTTTGTCACGTCAGGGCGAGAACCATATCTAAGACAGTTGCGGAGCTGGTGGTCGAGTTGAGCTTCAACGTCCTTCTCACCTCGCGTGAGGTAAAAATCACTAAAGAACGTGCTTCCTGCTTCGTTCACGTCTTGGATTCGCGGTGGGAAATAGGATTCGCAGTTGTTAGTCTCATGATGCAGCTCCGTACCATCGACGAGCGCTTGAATAAGGTCACGGTCGCGTACAGACCATACGAAGTGAACATTCTTGATATCAGGACGATAGCCTTCGCGGTGTTCAGTGTACAACCAGTTGACAATTGACCGCATCGGAGTCACACCAATGCCGCCAGAGAACAGAACGTAATGTGAGTACACTCCCGGAGTGGCGATATCGACGGAAACGTTGCCATAAGGTCCATCCAGGAGAATGTCAAATGGGGAGTCATTGTTAGTGTCAATAGCAGCAGTTCTCACCTTCTTCGTCCAATCACCCAGTTTTTTTAGTGTGAAACGTCACCATGGCTTCGTTCGGAGACGAAGATAATGTGAACGGATGCCACTCGAGATAGGAAATTGCCGGAATGCATATGAACGCGTACTGGCCAGCTTCATATTCTAAGGCCTCGCCGGTATCTTTGCGGACACGTGGAAACTGGATGCGTGTAATGTCTCCCGATAAAGCGTGGACGGTCACTTGTTCCGGAGCAACAATTCCAGCTGAGACCTTATCTGTTTTCGAAGAACCCCGATTGTATGTGCGAGCACGGAATATGAGTCGGTAGAGCATGTCGATGAACCACGGCAAGATCCCGAAGAGGGCAAAGAAAGCGCCGTGGGCTACAGCTGCCACGATAACCACGATGAAGAGGACCCAGTGCACACGCAAAAAGAACTCGAAGAAGCGGCGGCGAATCTTGTTTAGAGACAGTAAGTACATGAAGATCATGGCCACGAACGCGATTGCTCCTGTGATTACTTTGGAATCCTTGTACTCTTCCTCGCCATCATCGTTTGATAAGCGGTATGAGAAGGCGTGCAGTGCCGTCAAGATGATCGTGGCGTAAGCGAACAGCTTGTGGTAGAACAGAGCGCGTTCGAAGGGGATACCCGTGAGTGTTAGCAACAACGAATTGTTGCGAACCACCAGTCCAAAGACGAGGAACATGGTGAATGTCGGTGGCATTCCCGACATTTTGACGTCATGTTCGTTGGTAAGCACCACTGAAGCGGCGAGGAGGATCAACAGCAGCGGGAGAGTGAGGATCAGGTCGCCTTGCTTGACATCAAAGCGAGCCGTGAGCATCGGAAGAGGAACGGAGTAGATAGTACGGGACAGTCGCCAACGCGTCACCATCCACGAACGTGTCCATTTCTGTGTCCGACTCAGTCCCTCCAATTCATCGTGGTGTCTTGGCGAGACGACGTTCACATACGGGTCCGAGGGAGTGACCGTGTCACCCGTATGGTTCTCTTGGAGACGTGGGCTGGCGGTTGTTGGTTGGCTTGTAGTCATTCTGTCTTCTACTAGCGGAGAAGGTTGAAGAGTGAGGAGATAAATGAATGAACCACCGGAGCACGAGCTCAAATCACCAGAATGCGATAAACAATATTGATTGGTCGTCGCTAGAACTTCATCAGCGTTACATGTTACTGCAACCGATACATGAGGCGTACCGCGCAGTATAATCAATTGAGATTACAGTTTGTTGACCAGTGTCGAAATCCAGATGGTGTCTGCGGCGTCAACATTCCTGTCGTTTTTGAGATCACCACATTGATAGTCGAACATCCGATTGCATAATATCTGCCCGATATATATCTACAACCTTACGTTTTTTATTGAGTAGATTACTCACTCGTGCTATGACAATCATTCCAGTAGAATTGTTAATCTTTCATGGCAATGCTTTCGAAGAGATAAGTGACTTATTTAAACGAACTCACTTTCGATTTTGAGACGTACTGCAAACTCTACCCCTCGACGAGTGAGCGTATCATGGCCTCCCCTACAAACCACTTCATTCAAGTTAACGACACTCCCAAGGCTCGGGGTTTTGCTCCTGAACCGGTCAAGTTTACGCTTCAATGGAGAAATTTGAGCCTAAAAGCCGAAGTGAAGAACCCGTCGACGAAGAAAACCGAAGAGAAGGTCATTCTGAACGATGTCAGTGGCACCGCCAAACCCGGTGAGCTACTGGTCATCATGGGACCTTCGGGTGCAGGGAAGAGTTCGCTTCTCGACTGCATCTCTGGACGGAAGAGTGGCGTGGAAGGCGATATCCTGTTAAACGGGCAGCCGTGGACCAAGGCGACGAAGCGTATGGCTTCGTACGTCATGCAAGACGACCTCTTCTATGAAACGCTGACGGTGAAGGAGCATTTGGCATTCCAGGCTAAGCTCCGCATGGGTAGAACGCATTCCAAGGAGCAATACATGCATCGCGTGGACGAGGTCATGGAGGAGCTGGGGCTAATGAAGTGTCGGGATACCTTCATTGGCGGAGAGTCTCTGCACGGTATCTCTGGTGGAGAGAGGAAGCGTCTGTCGTTCGCTACGGAGATCCTCACCAACCCTTCGATCCTCTTCGCCGATGAGCCCACGTCCGGTTTGGACAGCTTCATGGCCGAGACTGTTATTAGACAGCTTCAACAGATCGCCCGTGACGGTCGTACCGTTCTTGCTACGATCCACCAACCATCGTCGGAGGTGTTCGCCATCTTTGACCAGCTATACTTGCTCTCTGATGGTTCTCCAGTGTACCAAGGTAAAGCGAGTGAATCCGTGGACTATTTCTCATCTCTCGGATATCCTTGTCCACCGCAAATCAACCCGTCGGACTACTTCATGCGGCAGCTCGTGGTAATTGATAAAGCCACCGATGAGGCCGGTGTGGCTCGTGTTGAATCACTGAAAGAAGAGTGGAGGAAGCATCAGAAACTTCCGCGGTCGGACTCTGTATCGATGCTTCAGAGCGAACAGCAACTGGAAAGTATGCGGGTTGAACTGCTCACTCAGGTCAGCGTGCTGGCTCAACGGAATATCCTTCGGTTCCTTCGTGACGGCTTTGCTCTCCGTGTACCGTTCATCCAGAATCTCTTTCTCGCGGTCATCGTCGGGTTGATCTACTTGCAGCTGGATCTTGACCAGAAGGGCATTCAAAACTTCAGTGGTGCGTTCTTCTTTCTCGTGACGAACCAAATTGTCGTGACGGCAAATCCGGTATTCGTGTCGGTACCCATGGAGCTGGCACTCATTTCGCGGGAGTACAAGGCTAGTCTGTACCACCTCTTCTCTTGGTTCTTGTCCAAGAACGTAAGCGAGCTGCCCATGCAAATCCTCCTGCCGATTGTTTTCTTCGTGCCGATCTACTTCCTCATGGGTATCGGCCATGGCTTCGACGTGTTCATCTACCTACAGATCGTCATGATCCTCATCAATAGTTGTGCGATCGGTCTTGCCTACATGGTGTCGTGTCTGGTTCCGCGTGTGGATATTGCACCTCTAATCGGTATGGTTCTTATCATGCCGTTCATGCTGTTCGGTGGTCTGCTCATCAACTCGGACGACTGTCCAGACTACTTTGTCTGGATCCAATACATTTCTCCTGTCAAGTACGGCTACGAAGCTGTCATGAAGATCTTCTGGAATGCCGTTTCGTCTATCGAATGCAACACAGCAAACTGCACCGCTCGGACGGGTACTGAAGTACTGGAAAGCTACAGCATGACGTCTCGATCGGCTCTTGGAGACGCACTTCTGCTCGTTGTACTGAACGTTGCCTTCCGCACCATTGCGTTCATCTCCATCTCGTTTCAGCTTCGTCAGAAGAAATAAGTTCTCGACTGTTAGTCTGTATCTGGCCAGAGTCACCCGAAATATGCATTTCCATTAACTCCTTCAAATCCAATGTTGCTGGAACTACAGAAACGACTTTGTCACCCGTGACGAAATACTTCTTGCTTGGATAAATATTCGTTTCGATTTCGAAGATTTTATTTTAGATCAAAACCAAATTTGGTCGCGCTACCGATCACGTGGAAACTTGGCGAGCATTTGGCTGGAATTCTAGCAAACTACCTAGCTCGCTCATTTGATTTAAAACGCTGGCATAGTCCTCGAGGACTATCTACTCTACTACTGTCTCCTTATTCAACCTTCTGTGATCCCTAGTGACTTTAGTACTGCATCCCCCAACCTGTAGCTCATTACGCACATTTTTCAAGGCCATTTGTCAATGACTTAAATACTACTGCTGCTCCCATAAAAAACGAGCTGCTTCTTTCCCTCAGCAGTGCAATTCAATTCCTGGTAACTGCTCGCCAAGGTTTGTTTCCCAGTGGCGTGACCAAATTGGTTTTTGACCTAAATAAAGATTGCATTTCGTTGTGGTGTATATACTGTTCAGGAGGTAAGAAAATCACCTTAATTATGTGAAATGGAGATTTAAATGTCCATTAACAAGAACTACCTTTCAAAATTGTCTTTCCAACTCCGTATATTTCGTTACCACATCAGCAGCAGGTGTAGTAAAAGGAGTTGTGGCTGATCATTGTCTTGGCCGGAACTTCTCAGCTCCACTAATTCTGCATCATTGGCGTGTTGGAAGCACACTCCATCGACACATTCCTCGTCTGGTGATGCTCTTGGAGGGTAGTAATCAACGGAGGCAGGATCTTGCAATTATGAAAGTTTCTGATCGATGTGGTGGAGTAGCAATGCACTGGGAGCCAGAGCAGTTGAAGTATTTGGTATTTCGTCCGTGGTATCATGAACAAGCATGCCTGCGATGGTCGTTGTGAAGGGTGCTCCTGTGAACGACAACTGATAATTGAAAGTGAGGATCTATTTGCCACCTTATCGCCGTGAGGCTAACCTCAAGCAAAACAAATCTCGGGATTTCCAGCGGCGGTACTGCGTTCGTGACGCGTATGCCGACGTAAAAATTGACACACTATTACATAACTTGACTAAACTTACACAGGCTCGGGAAGGCCGCGCTACATATCAAGATTACAGCGCGAGCAGATTACCTGCGTCCAATCCAGAAGCCGGAGTCCCCTGAACACAACATTCTCTAGCTATATGGTAAATACTTCAAGTAGTACGATTTTACATTTCAAATAGTCGTAATGATTCTCATTACCACGCGATCACTGGTGTTACTACGCGAGTGGCGCTAAAATTCATGAACGCGAGGGAATGTAATCGTCGACGCTGGTCAACATTCAAGAGATGTGAAGATGACGTATTAATGATTAGTAACATGGAAGAACGTTTTGTGTGTAACTTGCTTACGCAGCATTTGTTGGTGATATCACTACTGAACAAATATACGTTTCATGTGTGCTAGTTTATTTCTGCTCCTAACAAACGCGAGTCAAACCGATATAGTGAAGAGTAATGGATTTAGAAAGCGAGCAGTTCAAGCCAGGAGTATAAGTATATATGTTGTTGTGCTGCTATTTGGATATTGTCCAGCACAACACAGTGCAAAAGTGTTCCTATTTTTTAATTGTATTTTATACAATATTTAAAAAAATAATCTAGTGTAGAAAAGTTTAAGTAAAATTTGTCGTTGGTCAACACAGATTTGCAATGAATAGATGATGCCAATGTTGGTCAACATTTCAAAGTCACGAATGTTTATAAAGGCCTACCCAATGATGAAGTGTGTACTAAAAGGAAGTCTATGTATCGACACGTGAGTTATGGCCCATATCTTGTCGATTGGTATGGTGAGGAATGAATGAGTTGGAGAGGCATGATCACAAGATCTCATTCACAAATACACCGTCAAGTACACACTTCGACCTCCAAAACTAGCTCACTTCCAAGCACGATGACTTTCGCTACGCTCCCCAAACTTTTCACGGCTGCGACGCTAGGCGGCAACAAGTCCCCCGTTCAGCTCAAGCACCGCGTTGTTATGGCCCCCATGACTCGACTCCGTACGGGTGACGATGGCGTCCCCGGCGCTGTCGTCGTTGAATTCTACTCGCAGCGAGCTACAGACGGAGGTTTGCTTATCACGGAAGCCACGAACATCAGCGCCACCGCTCGTGGATACTATGGTGCCCCTGGCATCTATAATTCGGATCAGGTCGAAGGGTGGAAGAAGGTCACGGAGTCCGTGCACGCCAAGGGAGGCAAGATTTTCCTCCAGTTGTGGCATACGGGTCGCGTAAGCCACCAACTGAACCAGCCAAACGGTGAGCTGCCTGTGTCGTCCAGTGCTGTTAGCATGGAAGGTGTGCACAGCCTGGCTCCAACGCGCGAAGGTCGCTTGCCACACCCCGTTCCTCGCGCTCTGGAGACTAGTGAGATTGCTGGAATTGTTGCTGACTACAAGTCTGCAGCTCAGAACGCCCTTGACGCTGGATTCGACGGCGTTGAGCTTCACTGTGCCAACGGCTACCTGATGGAGCAGTTCCTGTGTGACTCGATCAACAAGCGCACAGACAAGTACGGTGGTAGCATTGAAAATCGTGCTCGTATCCTCTTTGAAGCTCTTGAGGCTGTTCTTTCGGGTGTGGATTCGAGCAAGGTTGGCATTCGCTTATCACCTTATGGAACAGCTTTCGGCTGCACGGACTCCGCTTCGGGTGAGCTGTTCGGATACATCATCGAGAAGCTGAACGAATACGATCTGGCCTACCTCCACCTTGTCGAGCCGCGCGGACTTCAGGCCCCCACCCCTGACGCACCGGAAGGCGGTGTACTACCGATCTACCGCAAGATCTACAATGGCTTCATCATCACATGTTCGGGCTACGCTCGCGAGGAGGCCATCAAGGTCGTCGAGGACAACTCTGCCGACAGTGTAGCTTTCGCGCGCGACTTCATCTCGAACCCGGACCTCGTCGAGCGTCTGAAAACGGGAGCTGAGCTCAACGAGCGTAACCAACAGACCGTGTACCTACCGCTCGGAGTTCCGTTCGAGACCGGCTACACCGACTACCCCTTCCTGGCTCAAAC